TGATGTGTCCATTAAAACTCTTTGTAAGTAGATCATGTTTTAATGATGACTTCTGGGAGGGGGCACTCCCTCCAAGCTCTGATGGGTACCAGAGGCAGCACGGGAAAGTGCTGGAGGTCTCACAGCAGGTGGTTGGGCCCCTTCTGGTGTGACCTAGGCTAAAACTGCTAACGTCAATAATGGCCACAGGTCTCTCTCTCTCTCTCTCTCTGTGTTACCACCGTGGGGCACACTGACCCTGGCAATGGGAGCCTAACAGATTTTTTTCATCCACCTGGGCTCTTCTCAGATTGGAAGCCAGACTTTCTGGCACAGCTAGAAACCAGCAAACTCCCATGTGCTGAAAAAGGCTGATTACCAAAGTCGGGAACACTCATCCTGCCACCTCGGGAGGAACCTGGTGGGAAGCAGGCTGTGCTAGACCCAGCCCCACGGAGACTGGTGAAGACACGACCGCAGGTGCCCGTAACGCCCACGCCCCCGCCAAGGACAGTGACAACACTACTAGTTTGTCTTCAGCTTTTCTAAATCTTGCACTGAGATTTCTAAATCTTGCCCTGATTTACGCGTCTTGCCTCCCCAATTTTAAATGGCTTCAGGGGTCCAAGATTCAGATGGAAAAGAGCAAACCTGGAAGAAAACTACTTTCCTTTTCGCATTTGGTCTGTGCATTAGTGTCAGCGGTACTCACATGAGTCAGCTCCCGTGGAGGGGAGGGCTCTGTGAGAGGGGTCTGTGTGCTGCAGAAGCAGATGAGCTGGCCATCTGAGCTGGGGAGGGAGCCAACATCCACTCGGCACCCCATGGCTGAGCCCTGCTCTGCAGAGCTGGGACCCAGAGAGAGGGACCAGAACAGAGTGAGAAGTGGTTGGTGGGGTGCAGGCAGAGAATGGAAGCAGGAGTGAAGAGGCCCAGCTGTGTCAGACGCCAGCTGCATGAACTTGGGCAGTAGCCGAAGCTCCGGGCCTGCTGCTTCATCCACAAAACAGGTGAGAGCACCTGCCCGGCCTGCTTTCAGGGGCTTTGCTGGGGATTAGCAAGGATATGGATGTGAATGGGCTCTGTGAGCTGGTAAGTCTCCAGGCAGGTCTGGGGGGTTGTACATCTCCTCATTATTTCAGCTCACATCTGCTGACTGCTGAACTGTATCCGGCCATTAGCTCGAGGTGGTGACTAATTGTTTTCTGATGAAAAAAACAAGATTTCCTTAATGTTCATGAGTCACGCAATGAGCATCTCTATACCAAGAACATCTCACTCTCAAAGATGTGGCCTGTTCATCTAAACATGCCTGAGAAGTGGTCAGGTGTGACCCACCCTCTTTCCTGAGGCCCACTGTGCACTTTGCAAACCCAGAGTGGTGGGTAGGGTGAATAGGGTGGTCTCTGCCCTCCAGGAGGCTGGGATGGATAAGGAGGAAGACCTGCTAGGCTCTCTCTGACGCTTACAGGGTGGGGCTCCCTGTAACAGGCACAAACCAGGAGCCAACAGGCCGTGCCAACAGCAAACGTTGAGCGAGGTCCTGGATGCAGTTGTAATCCAGTGGCAAATATGCTGCAGGGGGACTGCAGCTGGCGGATGGCATCAGAGTCAGGCCTTGGACAAGGTGTAGGGTTCTGCCTTGTGAGGTGGACATCAGCCCAAGTTCAGATGCAGGAGGGGGACGGGGCAGAGAACACCTAATAGGGACCCTGCCCCCAAGGAGCTTTCAGTCCACTTGAGAAGAAAAGGAAAACAGAGAACATGAAAGCTACGTAAACATCATATGTATGTAGTCAAAGGCCAAAGGATAGTGTGTGTGGCCGGGACAGGGGAGCAAGCCGGAGGGCTGGTGTTCACTCCTCTGCCCCTGGCTGGTTCCAGCCTCACCATCTCTCACAGGCTGTTTTCTAGGTTCGTCTAATTGGGACCCTTCTCCTAACATCCATCCTCCAATCCAGAATACACACTGCCAGCTATTCTCCCAAAGCCCAAGAATCCCCAGTTCCCTCCCTCCCCTCCGCTGCCCACAGGAGAAAGTCCAAACTCTCTGGCATCCACCACCCTTCCCCGTCTGCCCAACATTTCCAGCCACCATTCCCACGACACCCTTGCACCTGCCCTATGACCAAGTGACACCAGACAATTCACACACCCTGGTCAGGCCAATCACTTTAACATAAACGCATTTGCCTAACCTGACCTCGCTGCCTAGAATGCCAGAGAAAGCGGGCTCTGGGTTTGGAGTCCTAGAGTCGTGATCTTACATAAGTTACTTAACGTTTTTGTGTTTCGGTTTCTTCATCTGTGAAATGGGGATAATATACCCACCTTCTAGGATTCTTGTGAAGATCAAATGAGTTCAATCAAGTAGAGTCAGATTAGCTTCTAGTCCATTGTAGGTACTCAAAAAACGCTAACTTGGGCTTCCCTGGTGGTGCAGTGGTTGAGAGTCCGCCTGCCGATGCAGGGGACGCGGGTTCGTGCCCCGGCCCGGGAAGATCCCACATGCCGCAGAGCGGCTGGGCCCGTGAGCCATGGCCGCTGAGCCTGTGCGTCCGGAGCCTGTGCTCCGCAACGGGAGAGGCCACAACAGTGAGAGGCCCGCGTACCGCAAAAAAACAAAACAAAACAAAATAAAAAACCGCTAACTTTTGTTAGTAGCAATGGACTGAAACTTTCCAAGGTTTCTTTTTTCGACGTCGCTTGCACGAAGAATGAATTGCTCCTCCTTCTGGGCATGTGGGTAAATCTGTTATAGCATTTATTTCATTCTCTAGTGATGGGAATTCAACAATACATCACCGTGCCTGATAGAACACCCATCTCCTAGTAGATGCTTCATAAATATGATTCACCTGGGTCTATGCTGGGACGTCTCAGGCACAGTGTCTACCATGGCTGTAGCAGTCAGAATGAACTAAGATATCCTGTGGTAACAAACAGCTCCCAAATCTCAGTAGCATCAAACATCAAAGGTTTATTTCTCAGTCACACTATGAGTCACTCGCTGTTTGGTGAGGGCTCTACACCACATTGCCCTCATGTGGGACCCAGGGCAGCAGAGCCTCCTCTCTGGGACACCCCAGGTCACTTACAGCAAAGGGAACAGAGTGTGGCAAATCTCACATTGGCTCCAAAGGGCTTCTGTCTGGAAGCGACAAACTTCTGTTGACGTTTTACTGGCCAAAGCAAATCAGGTGGGATAGTGCCAGCCTACCATGTGCTTAAGATTAGGATATTGGCAAACAGCCCTAATGACCCAGTTCCTCATCTGAGGATCAAAATGTTACTTCCTGAGAATGAGAGCAGAAGCAACGAGTGGTTTATGACTTCAGGCTGGAGAAATGAGGCCCTGGCAGCTGTACTCAAACCCCTGCAGAGGCTCCAGGCCAAGTGCAATAGAAATGACAACAGGACCACCAGCTGGCAGGCTTGGACTGTGCAAGGCTTAGCCCTCAGAGGTAGAGTGGACATGCAGAAAGGGGACAGAGAGTTATGGTGCTTGGCAGGATACCTATCCAGCTCCTAATTTATATTTAGACTCCACCCACAGCATCCTGGGAATGCAAGACAGGCTGCCTCCCTGACATCGGAGGGCCATTTCCTCCTGATGGACAGGGCTCTCTGCTATCCTTTGGCCCATCCCAAGGTGACTTCTCACTCAAAATGATGGTGTCAACTCATTCTGGCCAAGAGAACAATTACATGACATTCCTGAGTGCTCTGCAGCTGCTTGTCCCGGCAGAACCATGGGGCAGGCAGGGCTTCTGCAAGGACAACCTACAAATGATCCCCAGAGTTATGTCCAACCTCCCAAACCCAGCTCTGCGGCAGTGCCAGATTTATAGTCTTCCCAACACAGAGAGGTGTGTTTTACTAAAGGGACAAGGCTCTGGAAGAATGAACTTCAGTATCTGAAATTCAATCAGCACAGCCAGGCAGATTAAGAGTTTCAGACAATCACATAAAGCGGCATTTACAAAGAGACATGACTGCTTCCCAAACTCACGGTCGCCCAGATGCCTCAGAGTCAGGCACCTGGGATCACCCTTGGGAGTGTGGAAGCAGACACAGCGATGGTGGCCCTCTCCTGGAAGCCATTCCATGGTCATCCTACCAACCACAGGAAGGTTTAAGATGCTCTGGGATCCCTGCAGAGATGCCGACTCGAGTGGGATGTTTCTGCGAGCCAGGCACACATGGCGGGCCAGCAAGGCCCACACCAAGAGAAAGAAGAGCTGGGGCATTTGGGACAAGGGATTCTCTCTGCTTTCTCTCTAACAGGAGCATGCGCAGCTGCATCCCTTCCCTTGGAAGGCTTCCCAGGGACGCACAGCGGCAAAAACACACTGCTGCACAGACACAGTCTTGGAGAAGAGCCTTGCTGGTGTCTGGTCAGACTCTTGGGAACAACATGCCTGAACGGTGGCGTTATGCAGCATCTGTCCCCTTGACTGGTCATGCCACCCACGTTTTCTTCTCTGTTCTGTGCCTTCAAGCCAGCTGTGTTGTGAGGAACCATGGCAGCACCAAGCAGGCTCTCCTCAGAGGGGAGGTACATGGCAAGAAGGCCAGCACAGATCCCTGCATCTTCATCTCAGCCAGCCTGCATCAGTGTCCTTGGGTCGCCTTCTGCCCCAGCTAGCCGGCTGTGGCCAGAGAAGAACAAGATTGGGAAAGGGGCCTCAGGGTCACGTGGTACAATCCAGTAGGGAAGACTCTTCCAACAGTACATGTGACCCATCTTTCCCTTTCTCTCTGTCTCTCCCACATTTACATTTGCAACCAGCTCTCAGGTGAGTCTCTTTCAGAGGGCACTGATTTGGGATCTGGTTGATGACTCCTGGCTGCATTATTAGAGTGTGCCCTGAAGACTGGTTCTTGGTCAAAATGATGGCCTGAGAATAAGCATTGCTTAAAACTGCCCACAGAGCTGTCCAGGAAAAGCATGATCCCAAGACAAGGAGAGGAACGTTAATTAGATAAACTTTGCAACAGTCCTCTGGCCAATGAGTGTGCTAATACTCCTGCTGGTTAAGGTTTCTCTGGAGCATAACCAGAGCGGCCCCTACAGCTGCGTCTACATCCTGCCCATAGGACACTGGGAAAGGGAAAGCCCTCTGCACCTCCTGCTTCAGCACCTCGTTCCTGGACAGCGCACTCCCACTGCCGATCACCCGCTCCACGCCCCACTCTTGGAGCTGCTGAAAAGGAAGCATTGAGTGCAGGTTCTGAACGATGCCTCTGCACAGAGCCCGGGTCACGTGCCCCAGGGAGAGGTCAGAGGAGGAGATTCTGGTCGCTGAGGCCAGCTGGTCTGGCAGGTGCCTCTCGCCCAGCACTGTTGGAGTGATGGTTAGGCAGGTGTCTTTCTGCTGTGCAGCAGCCTGGATCACGCGTGAGTACACAGTGGATTCTTCAACCTCCAGGCCTGCCAGGAACAGAGAAGGCCTGTGTGAGTTCATGCACCCCCTCGCTGCAGGCTATAGAGTTACCAGGGAGCAAGGAGAGGTTGACTTGCTGCCTCTCCTCACTGTGGCTGGCTGCTTCCCAGCTCAGGACTCAAATATTCTGGCTAGTTGTGCTCTGCTCCAGACCCCAGCCAGCTTTCTCACTACAGACCCCAGCCCAGCCTTCAGGGAGAGATCTCGTAAGTGCTGCTGTGAGTCCTTACCATCCCGCAGCTGTGGGACTCTTGGTCCTAAGTGGACCAAATGCATACACTGATCAATAAGTATCATCACACCTGTTATTAGAGTCACAGGAATCCCAGGACCACAGTGCTGATCGCAGTCTAGCCTGCCCCTCGGCAGAGGTTACGAACAACCAGTCTAGACCAGAGCTCAGAGTTGAATATGCATGTGAATCACTCAGGGATCTTATTAAAACACGGCTTCTGATTCAGTGTGCCTGGGGTGGGGCCTGAGATTCTGCATTTGTCATCAGCTCCCAGAGGAAGCCAGTGCAGCTGGCCAGAGGACCACGCTTTTTGAGGAGAAGGTTCTAGATCAGTGCTTACCAACACTTGAGAGCATCAGGATCACCTGAGGAACTTTTATAAAATGCTGTGCTCAGGCCCCACTCCTCTCCCCGAAGCCAAATAATCAGCTTTTCTGGGGGGTGAAACTAGGACATCAACATTGTTTTTAAAACTCCACGAGTATTTCCAATGTATGGCCAAAAGTTCCCAAGGAGTCTCAACGTCAGCACATTTAACTTATACAAACTCAACTATACACCCTCAGGAATGAGAAAGAAAAAAATATATTTTTTCAATCAAATGAAACAATGTAGACATTTCATAGGAGGTTAAGTTATATAAACTACTAGCCTTCAAAGCACCCTCTGTTTCATCAAAATAAGAACCACGAAAATGCAAAAGACTTTTCTTTTTGAAAATCTTAGAGAAAATTTAAGTATTACCTACTCTTTCAGGGCTGAGCAAAACAGTCACTTCTGTATAAATAGAAACACCAGCCACCTCAGTAAACAGTCGACAGACTCAACCCAGTTAAAGCAGTATCTGAGTAAAGCGCTTGCCTGAAGGTTCTGATGACTGGTTCTGCATCTTTAAGACCTTTCTTGATTCAAGGCAAAACAAGATCAAAGTTCTGTTCTTTATTTTTTTATTTTTTTATTTTTTGCGGTACGCGGGCCTCTCACCGCCGTGGCCTCTCCCGTTGCGGAGCACAGGCTCCGGAGGCGCAGGCTCCGCGGCCATGGCTCACGGGCCCAGCCACTCCGCGGCATGTGGGATCCTCCCAGACCGGGGCACGAACCCGCGTCCCCTGCATCGGCAGGTGGACTCTCAACCACTGCGCCACCAGGGAAGCCCATACTCTCTTTTTTGAGGCGCATCTTCTCCCCTAACCATAACTGTGGAGGATCCTAATAGTCTCCTGGCTCTCCCTGGCCCCACTATTACTTTCTCTGTCAGTAACCTTGCATTTGAGGTTTGCCTTCTGATGGCTACAGACAGCGGAGAATAAAATGATCAAACATGAATGAGTGAAAAGACTGGTAGCACTTATTCCTGGCAAGTAGCACCTCTCCTGCTTTCTTGGAAGGGTCCCTGGAAGCTCTGACGTCTTCCTGCTCTCTTTAGGGTGCAACTGATCAGGGCTTCCTCTGCTCTGCATTTACAGAGAAAGATGTAACCTCTTTCTTCCAGGAGAGGTTCCCTTTCTAAGTACTTAGGGTAGAAATGAAATTTCTGGCCAGCTGTCTAGGAATAGGGAAATCATGCTTATCAGATGCATATGGGTCACTTGTAGGAGCTCAAAATCAGGTCATTTCAGGAAACATCCAACAGAATAACTAGGTGGGGCATAGGCCACAGGGAGCACCTGGGATGTTCATACTGGTCATGCAGACAGGTGTTGCTGACCCACGTCAGTCCTTCCAGGCTGGCTGGGGGTGTCAGGATTGCGGGTAAGTTCTGCCCCCTTGGCTGGGAATCCCTCAGGAATGCTCCATTTAAAGAACAGAACTTTGGGTCCGGGAAGATCCCACATGCCGCGGAGCGGCTGGGCCCGTGAGCCATGGCCGCTGAGCCTGCGCGTCCGGAGCCTGTGCTCCGCAACGGGAGAGGCCACAGCAGTGAGAGGTCCACGTACCGCAAAGAAAAAAAAAAAGAGAGTAGCTGATGGCAGCTCAGAAGATGAAAGAAGCCTACAACCTCAGATCCCTAAGGACAGAGGGAACGTGCTAGAATCTGGCTGGGTCTGAGACAACAATCTAGAAACTTACAGCACGTTCAGCACCAGGACACTGCCACATAGAAAGGACAAGCAGAGAACACACCACTGTGTGGGTCACCCTTACCTAGATCCGCCATCCACTGGATCAGCATGTGGACGAACATGGCCAGCACGTTGCCCCCATTGAGTGATGCTGCCACCGCCAGGTAGGTCCTGTCAAAGTACGGGAAGTAGGCGACTGGAGCTGCAGGGTCTGGAGTCTCCACTGGCTGGAATCCTGAAGGCATGGAGGCTACCAGCTGCACCGAGGTGCTGACGTTGAGAACTGGATGTGGTCCAAAGAAAGCAGAGGTTAGGCCTGTTGGGCTAACTCAGAGGCCACAAGTCACAACAGGGTCGGAGAGTGTGCCACAAATTCCTGGATACTCCTCCTTTCAGGGGGAAGAGCCTAGTTCTCCACCTCTGAGTGTGGGCTGGACTCAGTGACTGGCTTCTAATGAAGAGAGTAAAGCAGAAATAACAGCGTGTGACTCTGGAGACCAGGTCATAAAAGGGCACTGCAGCTTCCGTCTTGATCACTTGCTCCAGGGGAGGCAGGTACCACGTCGTGAGCAGCCCTATGGAGAGGCCCACTGGGTGGTTGCTGGCATAACTGACCCCATCTTGGGCCCGTATGGTCCCTCCTGTCCTTCCGCTGACCCTACCCAGGACTGTACTAGGTGGTGAATCACTTCTCTGTCGTCAAGGGCTTTGTAGTTAGTAGATATTATTTAACAACGGTTAGGGCCAGGTGGCCTCGATGCTCTGTTAGTTCCCAAACTGTGCTGACTTTTGCTGATGTATTCCCAGAGCCCATGAGACTAGTTACCCATTCAATCATCTTAACTTAGGAGTGTATGTCCTGTTTCCAGGCACCCACCCTCACGCCCTAGGTTAACTATAAAACTGTCCCAAAGGCCCCTTGGTGGTGCAGAATGTAGCTGCCAATGCTTCCAGATCATTGTCTGCCTGATCCCACTCTGTAAGTTACTCTAAAATAAACTGACCCATTGATTATATGGAGCCGCCTGCCTCATTTTTCAGTCTCAAGATGCATTCTCAGTTCGGTGGGTACTTTTCATTCCCTCCGTCCTCCAACACCTACAAGGAGCTGAGGCCTCCTGCCAAGAGCCACATGAGTGAGCTGAGAAGTGGATCCTCCTGCCCAGTCAAGCCTTCGGATGAATGCAGTCCCAGCCGACTGACAGTGTGATTGCAATCTCACAAGGGACCGTGAGCCAGACCATCCAGCCACACCTAGACTCCTGACTCTCAGAAACTGTGTGAGATAATAAGTGTTTGCTGTTTTAGGCTACTAAGTATTGGAGTGATTTGTTACACAGCAATAAGCTACTATTCATAGAGAGTCAGACCTCAGCCCAAGTGTTTTATTCTTTGGGAGGTTTCATTCATTTTTGGTGGGTACCACCTCCTTCTCATTTCCAAGGTGTGCTTCTCAACCTCCCTCCACCAGCAGGGGGGATGCTCCCAGATCTAGAACACAGGGGATGATTTTCTCCTCTAGATGGAGGCCAGAGCCTACAGACTGTCCCAGGAGTCTCTTCTCCATTTCTCACGAGACCTGGCCAGAAAGCCTGTTCCTCTCAGTCTGTTGGGGCTAAACTAACTGAGGTCAGCATCCAACTATCCTACCTACTGGGAGGCAGAGGCAAGGAGAGTGAAAACAAGTCTCAGAAAGTCAATAACCTTGACTTCCTGCCACATCAAGCCTTTCACCATGACGATAAACCAGAAGCATCATGCCCTCCACCTATCCCCTCAGGGGGAAGTGTCAGTGAAGGGGGCCTACCAGCCTTGCTCATGGACACCGCACAGCTGGGCACAGGCCAGCAGCCCCAGTCTAGAACCAGAGACCACAACCAGCTCAGTGAAGATGGAGCCTAAATCTTATTCCCATTTGACCAGCCCCTCACTCACCATCTAGAAAGGACATTTATATCCAGGCACGTGACAGCTCTCTGTGGAGGGAACAGCCTAAGATTTGAAGACTACCAGGTAGGAGGAAAGAGCCAGGCTCTTTATAGGCACCATCCCAGTGCATCACAACAACTGCCCCATGAGAAAGGCATCATCATCCTCATTTTGGATGATGACAAGGGCTCAGGGAGAAAATTCAGGAGAAAAAGATGGGGTTTTTGACCTTAAAAGATTTTATCACATATTTGTGCAAACAAAAGTGGCAGAATCTGGATATATGTATATGTATAACAGATTCACTTTGTTATACACCTGAAACTAACACAACATTGTAAATCAACTATACTCCAATAAAAAAAATTTTTTTTAAGTGGCAGAATCTCACCTTTCCCTCTCACCTAATCTTGAATTAAGAGGAATTACTACCAAAAACAAAACAAAAAGTCACTTGAAATTTTATTTTTTAAGAATGTAATAAAATAGGAATAAACTACTGCTTCAGAGGATAATGCTGGTCAGAGTTTTTAAACTCAAGGTTAAATTGTAATAATTCTAACTGATGGAGGACAAAAAGATGTGATGACAAAGAAAATCCGAGTAAGATGAGTGACTTCTCTGTTCCCCTTGATAACAAGGCGAGGCTCTCAAAGTGGGCCCACTCAGCCAGGCTGCCCTGAGGATCAAATGAAACACACAGCCTGCCTTCACCCTGCTCGGGGAGGCAGACCCAAAGTCTACCCCAGCCCCAGGAGGGGCAAACGACAGCCCCCAGGCCATATCCAGCCTGCCATCTGTTTTTGTATGGCCCAGGAACTAAGAAAGGCTTTTCCATTTTTTTTTAACGATAGCTTTATTGAGATATAATTCAGAAAATTCACCATAAAATGCACCCTTTTAAAGTGTACAGTTCTGTGCTTTTTAGTATATTCACAGAGTTGTACAAACATCACTGAGATCTAATTTTAGGACATTTTCACCACTCCAGAAAGAAATCCCATACTGGTTAGCAATCAACCCCATTCCCAGCCCTAGACAACCATGAATTTGCTTTCTATCTCTATGGATTTGCCTATTCTGGACATTTCACAGGAATGGAATAATACACTATGTGGCCTTTCACTTTCATTCACATGTTATAGCATTTTAGCTCTGCAGATACACCACATTTTTAAAATCCATTTATCAGTCGATGGGCATTTGGGTTGTTTCTACATTTTGGCTATTATGAATAAGGCTGCTAGGAACATTTGTGTACAAGTTTTTTGTGCGGACATGTGTTTTCAATTCTTTTGAGTATACACATAGGAGTGCAATGGCTGGGTCCCATGGTAATTCCATGTTTAACTTTTGAAGAACTGCTAGACTGTTTTCCAAAGGGACTGCACCATTTTATAATCCCAGTAGCGTGTTCTTACCTTTTTAAAGGTTGAAAAGAAATGAAAAGAAGAATATCTCATGACACATGAAAATTTTATGAAATTCACATTTCAGCATCTATAAATAAAGTTTTATTGGAACACAGCTACACCCACTCACTTATGCATTGGCTATGGCTGCTTTCCTGCCCCAACAGCTGTTAAGTAGTTATGATAGAAACAAAATGGCCCACAAAGCTTAAAATATTTACAATCTGGACCTTTACAGGAAAACTTTGCCAGCCCCTGCCCTGGATTGCTGTCTCCCCTTCACTGTGACTCTCTTACATGGAATACAGGGACGTCTGCATTTCTACTCAGATCCGAGGAACTTTCGTTGACAAACACACAATAACAAAACCCCTAATCTATTGAATAATAATCTGTTTTCTTGGTCACGGAGACACATAGAAACCAGCCAACTAGAGAGAGTCATTTCCCTCACCTGTCTCTAGAGAAGAAAGGCACAGACTGTGGTCAGGACAGAAATTGCCCTGCTGAATTGTAAGCTCCCGGGGCAGGGGCTTCACCTGTAGGGATGAGGGTGTTTTTCATGTTTGTAACATAATGGTCGAGGACGCTGCGACTGCTGGCTATGTGTGCCCCTCGGACCCTGGCACAGAGCTGGGGCTTAGGAGGCCCCAGTAGAAGTCTGAGGAGAGAACCAAAGACAGACTTACCTGCGTCTGTCCTTTGGGCCATACAGGAATAGACAGAGGCCTGCAAATCCCCCAAGGCCACGCCCACCTGTGTCCCCTTTGGGATCTCGAACCAGGCCTGGGAAGTTCTGCCTGCCACGTTGCCAGGCTCGGTGACGTCCGGGAGCAGGTGGACGGGAAAGCCTGCGTCCCTCAGTCTGCAAACCAAAAGTGGACAGCATATCTACCTGGTGCTTGGTTTTCTGTTTTCTGTTGTTTCCAGGAAACTCAGCAACAGAAAGCGCAATAGGATACACATTCAAGAAGGGAGGGCAGAATCCAGTGTTTTCACAGAGGGCCTCTTTGGCTTTTTTTTAAACCATGAGGAAAAGCCTTGAGTTATTTAAAGAGTGAACCCTGGCTTTCAAGAGCTTGGGATGGGCCTCTTGGAGAAGACCTCAACCAGTTTGAGCAGAGGTGGTCAGAAGGGACTGGATAAGAAGCAGATTTCATGGGCATCCAGCCTCCTGCATTTGAAGGGAGAGCAAACACTGTGCAAAGGGAGGAAGCTGGAGTTTTAGAGCAAAGTCACAGCTGGTTAGCACAGGCCAAACCAAAGTCAAACTCATCAGTCTCCTGAATACCAAATGCATCCATCACTCACGGTTAGTGAACACGGGGCTGCCAATTTTATAAAACATGCTGGAAAGTCCTTTACCTGAACTACCAGGTGCTTTTTGTTTTATTACAGAGCTCAGAATTTGGGCCCTGGAGGCAGTGAACTTATAGAGCACTGGACTGCTGGACCTGAAAAGGCAAATAATTGCTTAAAGGGAACTTAAAAGGCATCCCTTAAGCCTACTACTCCCATTTCTTAACCCTATTTTAAAATACATTAGGGTGGGGGAGAGAGATAGTTAGGGAATTTGGGATTGACATGTACACACTGCTATATTTAAAATGGATAACCCACAAGGACCTACTGTATAGCACAGGGAACTCTGCTCAATATTATGTAACAACCTAAATGGGAAAAGAATTTGGAAAACAATAGATACATGTACATGTATAACTGAATCACGTTGCTGTACACCTGAAACTAACACAACATTGTTAATCAACTCTACTCCAATATAAAATAAAAAGTTCAAAAAATAAAATATGTTAAAGAATGAATGTTGTTCTTTGGAATCTACGGGCTGGCTCAGGACACAGAAAGAACTGGGGAGCCCACCCTAGGTCTGGGCAACAGTGGAGGAGCAGGCAGCATGGCGTGGTGGGTGGCGCCCCTCCCCAAGAACTTCACTTACAGTCAGGCCCACCCCTGCCCAGGGACTGGAACAGGCTGGAGAGTGTTGGAACCTGATTTTGGCCTTGTGGAATCCTCCATTATTCCCAGATGGGAAAGCCCCACTGAAGCTCCCGCTTTAGAGGTTCTGCCCTTCAGCCTCAAGCCAGCCTGCATGGTTATACTCACATCTCCAAGTTCCAGCTTTGGTTCCTGGTGTTGAAATATCCCCAGCTAGCGGCATTCTGGTCGGACATCAGGGGTCTTGTCAAGCCACACAGCATGGCAACCACATAGTCATGGATAGTGCCAGCTGCATCGTAGGACTTCAGGAACTCTGGGCTGTTTTTCATACCCCAAACAATTCAACGTGGTTTAATATTGACTTGAAAGCATGTGCTGCACCTAACTGTGGGCAGTGTGGACTAGACATGGCATAGCTGGGTAGCAGCCAGAACCCCACAGGCTGTGGATCCCTAGCAGCTGAACCTCCCAACCCCTCCAAGCCAAGCTGGCCAGAGTCAGCCTTAGGGGAGGGTACTCATAGGAGGACACACCGTGCCTGGGAAAGCAGGACATCAGCCGTTCTCAGCAGCCCTGATCCCACCGTGAACCCATCATGTGATCCTTGGCAAATCCCTTGCCCTCTCGGGTCTCTTCTTTCCCCCTCTAGGTGAGGATCAGATTACCAGTAAGAGCCCTCTGCAAAATGAACCAGTGGTAGACCAAGTCTAAGTCTTGTGACTATACCCTGTGCTGGGCCACACTCACTGAGGGACAATCCAGCACGTGGAGTGATGCTGACCAGCTAGAGGTACAGCTCCCTAGCCACTCTCGTTCCCCTGCAAATCCGTCACCCAATTCAAAGAACAGGTGTCCGTACCTATTTTTCAAAAGCCAGAAGATGGTTGCACAGCCAAACCCCGTGGCCACACTGAGATGAGACTCTGGCTGGGGCAGAGAAGCGAGGAACTTGCTGCCACACCTGCCATCCTGCCACGTTACCAGGTGGCTCACGGCTCTGGGCTCGAACACAGGGGCAGCCCCTGCCTCTGTCCATTCACAACCTGGAACGAAGGAGATGACCAAAAATGGAGAAGGGAGCAACGGACTAGCACCAGCATGTCTTGAGACTACTCTGCTAGTGAGCTTATAGGACGGACTTTATCACCCATGACAACGCTTCACTCACACTCAGGGGTTCTGGCCAGTACCCAGAAGAGCAGGGAGTGAATGGACCTAGAGATTGTCATACTGAGTGAAGTAAGGCAGACAGAGAAAGGCAAGTGGTATCATATGATATCACTTACATGTGGAATCTAAAAAAAAAAAAAAAAAAAAGGGACAAAT